TATGCAGCCGAAACCCGTTTGGCTCCGTGGACAGAGCGTCGGCCTGCTGGACGGAAGGGTCCCGGGTTCGATTCCCGGCCAAGGGCGTGGGCCTGGGTGGCTGAGGGCACATCCCCAGTGGGGGGCGTGCAGGAGGCGGCGGATGGATGATTCTCTCTCATCATGGATGTTTCTCACTCTCTCTCCCTCTCCCCTCCCTCTCTGTGAAAAAATCAATAAAATATTTTTAAAAATTATCATAAAATCCTTTGGAATTGGGTGCCGTCCTCTGAGGGCCTCGTCAGACAGGATCTTTTTTTTCCGTCTTTTTTCAAAAGCTCGGCAGGTCACCGTTTCCTGTTTTTTTTGTTTCTGTTTCTTGTTATCAGCTCCCCCCTGCACAGCCCTTCCCGTCCTATCTCCGCCATCTGCCCCCTCACCTGGGTCGGGTGGACTCAGCCTCATCCTGGATTCAGCTCTGGAGTCTAACACGCCCTGAATGAAAGAGAGAGAAGGATGTGTGTGTTTCCCTTAAAATATATATATTTTTTTGAGAGGCCCAGGTGCATGACTTCCTGCCCCCGTGGGGTCCCCCGGCCCGGCCTGCAGGGGATCGGGGCCGACACCGGCTCTCCGGCGCCTCCCGATGGGTCCCGGATGGCAAGAGGGCGCAGGCCAGGCTGAGGGGCCCCCCAGGGCAGGATCGGGGCCGAGGAGGGACGGGGAGGTGGGCCGGCCGGGGAGGGGCCGAGGGGGGGCTCCAGGGCGTGTCCGGCCCCCGATTGGCCGGACCCCAGCGGCAAGCTGGCCTGCTGGTCGGAGCGTCTGCCCCCTGGTGGTCAGTGCACGTCATAGCGACTGGTCGGCCGGTCGGCTGTCTGCCCCCTGGTGGTCAGTGCACGTCACAGCGACTGGTCGGCCGGTCGGCTGTCTGCCCCCTGGTGGTCAGTGCGCGTCATAGTGACTGGTCGGCCGGTCGGCTGTCTGCCCCTGGTGGTCAGTGCACGTCATGGCGGGAGGTTGAGTGGTTGAGCGGCCTTAGCATATCATTAGCATATTATACTTTGATTGGTTGAATGGCTGATCCCTCGACTGGATACCTAGGATATTAGTCTTTATTATAGAGGATATATTATTGATTTCAGAGAGGAAGAGAGAGAGAGAGAAAGAGAGAGAGTGAGAGAGACATCTCTCTCTATTTCTCTACCTCTATCTCTATCTCTATTTCTATCTCTATCTATCTATCTATGTATCTATCTCTCTCTCTCTCTCTCTCTCTACCCTCTAACTGTCTCTCTATATCTCTATGTCTACCTCTATCTTTATTTCTCTCTCTTTCTCTCTCTCTCTCTCTCTCTCTCTCTCTCTCTCTCTCTCTCTTTCCCTCTCCCTATATCTATCCCTCCCTCTCTCTCTCCCTCTAACTCTCTCTTTATATCTCTATTTCTATCTCTATCTTTATTTCTCTCTCTCCCCCCCCTCTATCTCTATCTATCTATCTATCTATCTATCTCTATCTTTCTCTTTTTTTCTACCTCTATCTCTCCCTCTTCCTCTCCCTCTACCTCTGTCACTACCTCTACCTATCTCTATCTCTTTCTCTACTCTATTTCTAACTCTCTCTCTTTCTCTACCTTTCTCTCTCTCTCTCTTTCTCTCTCTCTCTCTCTCTCTCATTCTCTCTCTCTCTCATCTATTTCTCTGTCTCTACCTCTATATATCTCTTGTTCTCTCTGTCTCTTTCTGTCTCTCTCTCTCCATCTCTCTCCCTCTCTCTCCTCTCCCTCTCTCTCTCTCTCTCTCTCTCTCTCTCTCTCTCTCTCTCTCTCTCTCTCTCTCTCTCTTTCTCTCGTTCTCTCTCTCTCTTTCATCTATTTCTCTATGTCTCTACCTCTATATATCTCTCGTTCTCTCTGTCTCTTTCTGTCTCTCTCTGTCTCTCTCTCCATATCTCTCTCTCTCTCTCTCTCTCTCTCTCTCTCTCTCTCCTTTTTCCCCTCTATTAAAAAGCAATCCAGGTTCCAGAACGCACTGAGTCCGTGGAAGAGCACTCTGAGGCATTTTGCAAAGGAGAGTTGCCCCCATCAGAGGATGGACCAGAGAGGCGAACGTCCACATGGACTTATTTCATCCTCAGGGGCTGACCAGCTCTGAGAGGGCTGGGCGGACGGGCTCCCCTCGGCTCGAACCCGGCAGACAAGTGGTCCTCTTCCCGTAAGATCCAGGCAAAATGGGTGTGGCTCAGTGGGTAGAGCGTCGGCCTGCGGACTGAAAGGTCCCGGGTTCGATTCCTGGTCAGGGGCATGGACCTTGGTGATGGGCATATTCCCGGTGGGGGGGGGGGGAGGGGGTGTGTGTGCAGGAGGCAGCTGATGGATGTTTCTCTCTCATCAGTGTTTCTAGCTTCCTATTCCTCTCTTCCTCTCTGTAAAAAAAATCAATGGATACAGCGTCGGCTTGGTGACTGAAGGGTCCCGGGTTCGATTCCCGGTCAAGGGCATGGACCTTGGTTGTGGGCACATCCCCAGTGGGGGGCGTGCAAGAGGCAGCTGATCGATGACTGTCTCTCATCGATGTTTCTAGCTCTCTATCTCTCTCCCTTCCTCTCTGTAAAAAATCAATAAAATATATTAAATAAAGAAATAAATGTTTATTATTTTTTAAAAAAGTATATATATATTTTTATTGATTTCAGAGAGGAAGGGAGAGAGAGCGAGAGGGAGAGAAACATCCATGAGGAGAGAGAATCATGGATCGGCTGCCTCCTGCACGCCCCCTACTGGGCATCGAGCCCACAACCTGGGCCTGTGCCCTTGATCGGGGGAATCGAACCCAGGACCCTTTAGTCTACAGGCTGACGCTCTATCCACTGAGCCAAACCGGTTATAGCATGTTGTTTTTTAAGTATATATATATATTTTTATTGGTTTCAGAGAGGAAGGGATAGGGTGAGAGGGCAAGAAACATCCGGGAGGAGAGAGAGAAGCATGGACCGGCTGCCTCCTGCACGCCCCCTATTGGGGATGGAGCCCGAACCCGGTACCCTTTAGTCTGCAGGGCGGTGCTCTATCCACTGAGCCACACTAGCCAGGACTGGAAAATATCTTTTTTTGAAAAAAAAATTTTATTAAAAAAAATTTTTTTTTTTACAGAGAAGAAGGGAGAGGGATAGACAGTGAGAAACGTAGATGAGAGAGAAACATCCATCAGCTGCCTCCTGCACGCTAGTGGGAATGTGCCCAGAACCAAGGTACGTGACTTTGACCGAAATCGAACCCGGGACCCTTCAGTCTGCATTCCGATGCTCTATCCACTGACAATCACACCACTTAGGGCTTGAAAATGTTTTTTTTTAAAAAATATTATATTTGTATTGATTTCAGAGATGAAGGGAGAGGGAGAGAGCGAGAAACATCCATGATGAGAGAGAATCATGGGCCGGCTGCCTCCTGCACGCCCCCTACTGGGGATGGAGCCCACAACCCAGGCATGTGCCCTTGACCGGGAATCGAACCAGGGACCCTTCAGCCCACAGGCCGGTGCTCCATCCGTGGAGTCCAGCCGGCTGGGGCTCCGTTCGCCCTCTCCGTGGCCAGACGTTGTTTATGTTTTAAAAACATTTGTGCTCATCCGTGTGGGTCCGTGAACCCAAGGCAGCCCATTTTCCTGTCGAGAGATGTCACGGGGGTTGTCTGGCCTCGGGCGGAATCCCTGGACGCACATCCGCAGGCAGACAACGCCTAGATCTCCATCTTAAATCTGCGGTGAGCTGAGAGGCAGGCCAGAGGCGCACACATCTGATCCTCTTGTAGGCGCCTACTGGCGTCTGGTGCCACGGGAACAGCGTTGCTCACGACCTACGAGCCTGGTGGGTAAGCTGCCTCTTCCTCTTGTTCTTCCTTAACGTTCGTGGGCAGGTACCCCAAGATCGAAAAAAAGAAAAAAGAAAAAAGAAGAAGAATCTGCAAAAGCAGTTGGTACCTACATCTGGCCATCGGTAGGTACCTACTCGTGGCCTGGCCACGAAAACTTTGGCTGCAGACCTACAAGCCTGGTGGGTTGGCTCCCTCTTCCTCTCGTTATTCCTTAACCTTCTTGGGCCAGGATTGACCCCAAGATTCAAACAAAAATATCTGCAGGAGCCGTTGGTACCTACATCTGGCCATCTGTAGGTACCTACTAGTGGCCTGGCCACGAAAACTTTGGCTGCAGACCTGTAAGCCTGGTGGGTTGGCTCCCTCTTCCTCTCGTTATTCCTTAACCTTCTTGGCCAGTCTGACCCTGAGATTCAAACAAAAATATCTGCAGGAGCAGTTGGTACCTACATCTGGCCATCTGTAGGTACCTACTCGTGGCCTGGCCACGAAAACTTTGGCTGCAGTCCTACAAGCCTGGTGGGTTGGCTCCCTCTTCCTCTCGTTATTCCTTAACCTTCTTGGCCAGTCTGACCCTGAGATTCAAACAAAAATATCTGCAGGAGCAGTTGGTACCTACATCTGGCCATCTGTAGGTACCTACTCGTGGCCTGGCCACAGAAATTTTGGCTGCAGACCTGTAAGCCTTGTCGTTGGCTGCCTCTTTCTGTCTTTCTTCCTTAACTTTCTTGGCCAGGACTGACCCTGAGATTCAAACAAAAATATCTGCAGGAGCCGTTGGTACCTACATCTGGCCATCTGTAGGTACCTACTCGTGGCCTGGCCACGAAAACTTTGGCTGCAGACCTACAAGCCTGGTGGGTTGGCTGCCTCTTCCTCTTGTTATTCCTTAACCTTCTTGGGCCAGGATTGACCCAGAGATTAAAAATATATCTTCAGGAGCTGTTGGTACCTACCATCTGGCCATCTGTAGGTACCTACTAGTGGCCTGGCCACGGAAATTTTGGCTGCAGACCTGAAAGCCTTGTCGTTGGCTGCCTCTTTCTGTCTTTCTTCCTTAACCTTCTTGGGGGCCAGGACCCCAAGATTCAAACAAATATATTTGCAGGATCGACCTGAAAAAACAACAACAAACAAAACCACAGGATGGGAAACTGTGCCCTCGGGGGCCACGTGGTCACCACGGAGAAGAACGGCGTTGTCCAGCTGAAGGGCCTGGGGCTGAGCGAGTTCCCTCCGGATCTACGGAAGCTGTCAGGGTGCCTGCGGGGCCTGGACCTGTCCGACAATCAGATCGAGCGCGTCCCTCCGGCCGCGATAAAGATGTTCGCGCAGCTGACCGGCCTCCGGCTGGACGGCAATCGGCTGGTGTGCCTTCCAGACGAGCTGTGCTCGCTGAGCAGGCTGGAGAGCTTGAGTGTCAGGGGCAACCTCCTGGGAGAGTTGCCCTCGGCCTTCGGCCGGCTGTCCGCCCTCAGGACCCTGGACCTGTCGGGGAACCGGCTGAGGGCCCTGCCGCCCCAGCTGTGCGGCCTCCAGAGCCTCGAGGTGGTCGATCTGTCCCGTAACCAGATCCGGGAGGTCCCCGGCTACGTGGGGGCCATGCAGATGGTGGAGCTGAACCTCAACCAGAACTGGATCGCCCAGATCTCGCCCCGTGTGGCCCGCTGTCCGCGCCTCCGGGTCCTGCGTCTGGAGAGGAACTGGCTGGAGCTGGTCACGCTGCCGCCCGGCCTTCTCCGGGACTCCCGGCTCTGCCTGCTGGCCCTGGGGGGAAACCTGTTCGACGTGAAGGAGCTTGAGGAGATGGACGGCTATGACGGGTACCTGGCCAGGTGTGAGGCCGCCCGGGGGGACGTTGCTCTGATGCGGTCTCTATTGCTCTGAGGCCGGCTCTATTGCTCTGAGGCCGTCTCTATGGCTCTGATGCGGTCTCTATTGCTCTGATGGGGTCTCTATTGCTCTGAGGCCATCTTTATTGCTCTGAGGCCGTCTCTATGGCTCTGAGGCCGTCTCTATTGCTCTGAGGTCGTCCCTATTGCTCTGATGGAGTCTCTATTGCTCTGATGGGGTCTCTATTGCTCTGAGGCCGTCTCTATGGCTCTGAGGCCGTCCCTATTGCTCTGATGGAGTCTCTATTGCTCTGAGGCCGTCCCTATTGCTCTGAGGCCGTCCCTATTGCTCTGAGGCCGTCTCTATGGCTCTGAGGCCGTCCCTCTGGCTCTGAGGCCGTCTCTATTGCTCTGAGGCCGTCTCTATTGCTCTGAGGCCGTCCCTATTGCTCTGATGGGGTCTCTATTGCTCTGAGGCTCTCTCTATGGCTCTGAGGCCGTCCCTATGGCTCTGAGGCCATCTCTGTGGCTCCGATGGGGGTCTCTATTGCTTGGATGCAGTCTCTATTGCTCTGAGGCCATCTTTATTGCTCTGAGGCCATCTTTATTGCTCTGAGGCCGTCTCTATTGCTCTGATGCTGTCTCTATGGCTCTGAGGCCGTCTCTATTTCTCTGAGGCCGTCTCTATGGCTCTGAGGCCGTCTCTATTGCTCTGAGGCCGTCTCTATTGCTCTGAGGCCGTCTCTATGGGTGCGGGTGAGCCTCCTGGGACGTGGGTTTGGAACTTCTGGCCAGCTGGCCAGAGCGAAAGCTTCCTGTCCGCAGGAAGGAGTTCATACGGCAGGAGATTGTGTGTTTATTTTCTGGTTGTTGTTTTTTTTTAAATTATACACGGCCAAAACCAGTGTTGCTCAGTGGGTAGAGCGTCGGCCTGTGGACTGGAGGGTCCCAGGTTCGATTCCCCGGTCAAGGGCATGGACCTTGGTGGCGGGCACATCCCCAGTGGGGGGCGTGCGGGAGGCAGCTGATGGATGTTTCTTTCTCATTCCTGTTTCTAGCTTCCTGTCCCTCTCTCTTCCTCTCTGTAAAAAATTAATAAAATATATTTAAAAAAAAATATATATATATATATACACACATACATGGAGCTGCCAGATGAGGATGATCTCTGAACGCACCATCATCTGGCCATGCAGTGTCTATTCCTATAGAACAAAAGGCTCATAGGCACATGGTCCCCTCGACCAGGAGTCCGACCAGCAGGCAGGCCGGCCGACTGCCCACGTCCCCGCCCCTGGCCAGGCCGGCCGGACCCCACCCAGGCACGCATTCATGTACTGGTATAGATAGATATAGATATAGGTATAGGTATAGGTATAGGTATAGGTATAGGTATAGGTATAGGTATAGGTATAGATATAGATATAGATATAGATGTAGATATAGATGTAGATATAGATATAGATATAGATATAGATATAGATATAGATATAGATATAGATATAGATATAGGTATAGATAGATATAGATCTATACACTGAGTGATCAGATGATGATGATCTCTGAACATGTAATCATCTGGCCACTCCATGTAGATTCTATAGGATAAAAGGCTAATATGCAAATTGACCCTTTGACCAGGAGTTCGATCAGCAGGCAGGCCGGCCAACCGCCCATGTATTCTCCCCCTGGCCAGGCTGGCCCGACCCCACCCATGCACGGATTCATGCACCAGTCCTCTAAAACACACACACACACACACACACACACACACACACACTCACACACACACTCACACACACACTGAGTGGCCAGGTTATTATGCATTCCGAGATCATCATCATCTGGCCATTCAGGGTATGTTTTATTGATTTCTGAGAGAGAGAGAGAGAGAAAGAGAAACATTCATGATGAGAGAGAATCAGGGACCGGCTGCCTCCTGCACGCCCGCTACTGGAGATGGAGCCAGAATCCCGGGCATGTGCCCTTGACCGGGAATCGAACCCGGGACCCTTCAGTCTGCAGGTTGACGCTGTATCCAGGGAGTCCAACCAGCCAGGGATGGACATTGTATTTCATTAGCTCTCTCTCCTTCCCAGAGCTAGCTTTTTTTTTTTTTCTTTTCACTTTTTCATGATTCCATGACCCATCAAGAAGCGATGACACAAGGAAAACAACCTATATCCATATATTCATATACAAAAAGTTATACATGGCGGAAGCCGGTTTGGCTCAGTGGTAGAGCGTCGGTCTGCGGACTGAAAGGTCCCGGGTTCGATTCCTGGTCAAGGGCATGTACGTTGGTTGCGGGCACATCCCAGGTAGGGGGTGTGCAAGAGGCAGCTGGTTGATGTTTCTCTCTCATCGACGTTTCTAGCTCTCTATCTCCCTCCCTTCCTCTCTGTTAAAAAAAAAATCAATAAAATATATTTAAAAATTCAAAAACTTATACATGAACATTCCTAGGAGCATTATTTGTAAAAAAGTGGAGACAATCCAATTGTCCATCAACTGATAAATGGAAAATAAAATGTATATCCGTACAATAAAATACTATTTGGTAATTAAAAAAAGATGAAGGATGATACTTATTTTTAAAAACCACCAATGTGTATCAACTCTAGTCTCTGATCTTGTAGGTCACGTAGATGGAATTCATCCATAGCTTAATCTTGTAGATCCCTTTCCACTTCTGCTAGAAATGAGAATGTTTAAGGAAAAAAAAAATAAATGAAAATAAATTGTGCTAATCACTGATGGCGCCAATCACAAAAGCATTGTCTTCTTTGTGTGTGTGTGTTTTCAGGCTGAGTTGTCAAATTACAAGGGTTTTCAAGACCTGATAGTGTATCTCAGTGGATAGAGCGTCGGCCTGCAGGCTGAAGGGTCCCGGGTTCGATTCCCGGTCAAGGGCATTTTACCTGGGTGGCGGGCACATTCTCAGTTAGAGGTGTGCAGGAGGCAGCTGATGGATGTTTCTAACTATCTCTCTCCCTTCCTCTCTGTAAAAAAAAAAAAAAGAAAAAGAAAAAATCAATAAAGAATATATATTTTTAAAAAGGGGTTTTCAGGTCAAACACTGAAGTTCTGGCCCACCCCTGAGGCCTGTTCCCCGCGGACACGTCGGTGGAAAATTAATGGGTGGATATAGGGGAGGTGTGCGCGCCAAGGCCTTGCTGTTCTTGCCTCCTCATTATCTTTTCAGGAGCCCGTCCTCCGCCTGTTAAAACGCAAGGCCCATCGCCGGCCCCTCTCAGCACCTGCAGATGACTTTCTGCCTCCTACTCCGATCAAACATTCATGACGGAAACTCCACTCAAAGCCACGCTCCTGGGGCCCCGCCCGCCCTCCCTGGTCCCCAGCCCCCGCTCAGGGAGCCAGTAGATGGACTTCCCAGCGTGGAAAAATGGGAGGGGAAAAAATATCACTGCTGCGGTTTATTTATTTATTGTTTATTTTTAAAAAATATTTTATTGGTTTTTTACAGAGAGGAAGGGAGAGGGAGAGAGAGATAGAAACATCGATGAGAGAGAAACATCCATCCGCTGCCTCCCCCACCGCCCCCCACTGGGGATGTGCCTGCAACCAAGGTCCATGCCCTTGACCGGGAATCGAACCCGGGACCCTTCAGTCCGCAGGCCGACGCTCTATCCACTGAGCCATACCGGTTAAGGCAGGGGTCGGCAAACTCATCCGACCACAGAGCTATATGTCAACAGTCCAACAATTGGCATTTCTTTGGAGAGCCACATTTTTTTTTTAACTTAAACTATAGAGGTAGGTACACTGTTATTCACTTAATCAGGGTACGTGGTATTTTGTGGAAGAGCCACACTCCAGGGGCCAAAGAGCCGCTTGTGGCTCGAGAGCCATGGATGGATGGGTGGGTGGGTGGATGGGTGGGTGGATGGGTGGGTGGATGGGTGGGTGGATGGATAAATGGAGAGATGGATGGATGGATGGATGGATGGGTGGGTGGATGGGTGGGTAGGTGGGGTCAATGGGTGGGTGGATGGGTGGATGGGTGGATGGATGGGTGGATGAGTGAATGGATGGGTGGATGGGTGGATGGGTGAATGGATGGGTGGATGGATGGGTGGATGTGTGAATGGATGGATGGATGGATGGATGGATGGATGGATGGATGGATGGATGGATGGGTGGATGGATGGGTGGATGGATGGGTGGATGGATGGATGGATGGGTGGATGGATGGGTGGGTGGATGGATGGGTGGATGGGTGGATGGGTGGATGGGTGGATGGGTGGATGGGTGGATGGATGGATGCCAACCAGTAGGTTAGGGCTAGAAATCTCCCTTTTTCATGGCTGTGTTGTATTCCATGGGGGTCAATGTCCCACAGTTGCTGTTTTTCCTTTTAATCCACTCCTCTGCTCACGGGCACTTAAGTCTCTTGCTTTTGAGTCACCAACACCACCCATTGCTCCTTACGTCTGCACTCGGCTAGCAGTTAACAGAGGCTGGAGGGAAAAAAAAAAAACAAACTGAACCAAAGAGAGAATCTTACAAGCAGCGAGAGAAAAGCAGTTGGTTACCTACAAGGGACTGTCAGCCAATTTCTCGACAGAAGCCACGCAGGCCAGACGGGAGTGACAAGAACTATTCCAAGTGATGCATAGCGAGAACCTACAGCAGCCAAGGTGACTGTACCCAGCAACGTTATCACTCAGGATCGAAGGTCAGATAAAGAGCTTCAAGGATGAGAAAAAGCTAAAGGAGTCCATCACTGCCAAACCAGTATTAATATGAGACACTGGAAGGTATTGATTTATTGATTTATTGATTTTTTTTTACAGAGAGGACGAGAGAGATAGAGAGTTAGAAACATTGAACAGCTGCCTCCTGCACACCCCCCACTGGGGATGTGAATCATTTTCAGGGGGGGAAAGGGGTGTGGGAGGTGCAGGAAGAGGCTGGATTAAAATCGTATAACCTGCTGAAACCGGTGTGGCTCAGTGGGTAGAGCGTCGGCCTGCGGACTGGGGGGTCCCGGGTTCGATTCCTGGTCAAGGGCACGTGCCTTGGTGGCTGAGG